TATCCATCACCAAAGGGAATATTTCAAGAATAACAAAAAGGCCATTATGAATAAAAAGGGTCACACTTTTATAGTCATGCTGATAACTTTTTCAATACCACAGCAACAAAAATAAAAGTCTTAGGCACCCAGTATTGGTTAATTTCTTGTTTTTAATTAACAAATGTTGCAGATAATATCCTGCACTGTTGTATTTGCACAATTGAATTGGCAATGTTTCAGTACCAAATCATTGCATACTTATTTGTGGAATTTTGACAGAGCTCTCTCTCTCTCTCTCTCTCTCTCTCTCTCTCTCAAAGTATTTTTAGATACTACTGATCATTGAAATAACAGAGATTGCATTATTTTAAAACGCGGTATGAAAAGTATAAAAGTAGGCTCATCTTCCATAGATGGAAAATGCTCGCTTAAGTACTTTGTTTTTGGCCGACATTCAAATGATTCGTTGCGTTTTGCACACTTTAAAACTTGCAAAACTCTTGAGGTTGTGAGTTAAACTTCCCCTAATCCTCGCTCTCCGCGGACCCTCAGGGTGAGTTTGTTTACAATAAGCAGCCAAGAGCCGAAATTGAAAGAAACTCTTCCAAGACTGTGCAACTTCTTGTAAATAACATAATTGCCCTGAGTTGTATCATCACGCTGAGCGCCTTCGTGTGTGCCAAGTGAAGTTCCAGTTACATCCAGAGATGTGTGTTTTAGTTGGCATCAACAGCAAAACTCTCCACACACAGTCTGTTACACCAGGGCCAATTGGTAAGCGTTGTGGTCGGACCCCCCTCCCCTGCATTACAAGAAGGGGTACAAGAGGAGGTTTGATTGAAAAAAAAAAAACTGTCTTTATCTTTACTCCCCTCTTTCTTCCTATCCTCAGGAGAAATCATCTCCTGAATAAAAACAACAAAATTAGCCCCTCTGAGTCAGATTGTGTTTAAACCGGCGAGAGAAAACAAGCATTTTCTCTGTGCGCCATGCCCGTCTGGGAACGAGTCCCACAATAACACACACATTTAATACAGCACATCCTGGATCCACGCTGGGGTGTCAGTGTTTATGGCAGTGCCGCCACCACATGCACACACACACTCTCACACTCACACACACGAATCAGAACGTCTGTAGCCTCTGTGAAGATGAGTCAGCGTATCTGAGGTTTGGAGCGGATCTTGATCTGGGATGTGGGAATTTAATCATTAAAATAGGGGGACCGTCTCCCAAACGTCTCCCCGTGCTCCTGCGTGTGAGTGTCATATTTGCTGTCTGACTTGAATTAAGCTTTTCAATGTGATGATTTTCTTTGAATTTGGTGTGAAGGCCCCATGCAAGAGCCAATGAAGATCTGTAAAGTTTTCTTGATAGCATCGAAAAATGTTGTATCCTTGTGAATTTTCCCCCTTCATTGCTTCTTTATATCCCTCTCCCTCTATGCAGTGAACAATATTTTAAACATAATGACTAACATACTTCATAAAGTGTTATCCAGGCCTCCTTTTTTCCTTTCATTGGCTCGATATCTTGTCCTGTTGTCCTTGTCTCCTACTGGCCTTAATAGTCCTGGATCCTGCATCACAGATCTACACTTCTTTTATTGCCATGGGTCTTGCTTGTTTTAATGGCAGTTTCAACAGGATCGGTGCACCATGTTCAGTCTGTGCCGTACCCTCTGGAGCTGATCCCGCCCTCTCTAGTCACTGCTGGTGTTTCCACTGCATGTTGAGTCCGTCTCCAGCCTCTCCGCTCTGCTCCACAGCAAAAATACTCGCTGTGTCTATATTCGACGGAGCCAGTTGCAAGCACGTGTCAAGGTGAATAGAGCAGATTGACTCGGACAGTAAGTCAGACAAGAAAGTGCACAGAGCATCCGGTCAGTTTTCAAAATAAAACACAACATAACTCACAATTGTATATCCAGTTATTTTATCAACATTAAATCAAAACAGGCACCAAAAGAAACAGCAAATCAACCTCAGAAAGACCTCATGTTGAGAGCTCTTATTAAGCTGGGCTGAATGAAACTGCGAGTTCATCCCTTTAGCGTTGAAGGTAGACTCCCCAAAAGAGAAGGGTCTCAGGTTTGAGGACACGTCGTCCATTGTGCCAATTAGCATGAGCGCATGCATCCCAACGCCGCTGGCAAATGAACATTTGTGGGCTGCTATTGTGCCATGAACTCCCACAATGTGGCTTTGGAGGTTTATCCAGTGTAATAGTACTTTAAACAAACAATCCTTGCTTGAGCAGAGCCTCCTTTGTGGTCTGGCAGATCCAGTCCTGCTCTGCAGCTGTCATACGTGGAAGCAAAAGTTCCAAAAAGGAAATTGAGAATTATGTTGTTAGGAACCTGACTGGATCACAGGTTGAACTGGAAGGGGAAAAAGCTTGCACCTTCTGCCCGGTAATGTACCGGTTATTACAACCTTTACAAAAATATAAAGTGTCCTTGTAGCTTTAGGTTAAGGTCATGTCCCTTCACCTTGACATAGTTGAGGATTGATCATTATAATGGGGTCTTATTGAAGGCCAGAGCTGAATCAAGAAACTTGGCAGCAGCAAACCAAAAACATCCTTCATGAGTAGTCGGAGTTGCACGCTCTCAAACAGTTTCAGTGTCTACACATCTCTTCCCCTGCCAGTAAGGGAAGAGTTTCTTCCTTCCAAATTGTTGCCTGATGCGTAGATGATGATGTGGGAGTCTCTTGGGACTCTGTACATACGGCGCTCTCACGTCTGAGAATCACCTCGTCCTTGCCCCTTCACACCCCGGCCCCTCAAAACTGACAGGCTTTACTTTCCTTCCTCAAATTAATCCTCCAACTTAATTATCTCATGTCGGCCAAATCACAGACCGACTTTTCAAGCAGTGATGGATCCTAGTTGATGAAATATTCTCATCAGTCCAACTCAAAGGCAGCTAATGCTAAAGGCTGTTGTGCTAACAGACACCCTGAGCACTCACCTGTGGGAATTGAATAACCCGGACTCGGATCATGATGTCTGAGTTGTATTTTAACATAAAGAAGCATCAAAGAAGTCTTTATCTTCAAGAGAGTCCGGAGTTGGACTTGGCACTGTGCTGTGGTCTGAGGATGAGTCTGGCTTTACCGCCCCACTAAAACATTTATCAGAGGATGATGGGAACAACTTCCCTTTCCTCAGCTCGACCTTGGATTTGTTTTAGTGTCATCTTTTTAGTGTTCCACCACTTGTTTTTTATCATGCTTTTACAGTTCCTGGACAGGACTTATCATCAAAGTGGGAGTACACATGAAAAAAAAAAAAAAAAAACCTCGAGTCCTTAAGCAAGAAAGATGAAACGGGCAGTTGTTTATTTTTCTGAAGACTTCTTTTAATGCCATTTTTCTTTATTGAATAGAAAAAGATTTGGATGGAAAGGGGACTGATACGCATCTTAAGGACAAGGGTTGGATGTGAACCCCGAGCAGATGCAGCAAAGACTCCACCTCTGATCATGGGGGGCCTTTCTTCACCATCTTTGCCAAAAAGGCAACCGATGAAACAGGCAATGAGATGTTTCGATTAAAGAGAAGATGTTTTAAGTGATCCAACCTTCTCAACAGGGTCTTAAGACGCTGACTAGACTCTTCTCCTCTGTCGCCCCCCGGTGGTGGAATGAACTTCCAAACTCCATTCAATCTGCAGAGTCCCTCTGCACCTTTAAGAAAAACTAAAGACCCAGCTCTTTATGAATACCTACTAACTTAATGATGATGGTCTCCATATTATTGATGATGATGATGGTAATGACGATGGTTTTTGTTTGATAATGACGACTTATAAGATGGTTTCTATACTGATTAGAGCTCTCAAGAACTGCCCTCAATGTTGTGCTTTGCCTCTGCTCACTTCCTGTCAGCACCTGTGTGTCCAATCAGACTCAAAGCTGATCGTTGGCTCTTACTGACATGGATAAAAGCGTCTGCTAAGTGAATTGTAGAATTGTAGAAGTAAATTAAGCTGTCATTTGCTGACCTTAATGTACAACCCCATTTTCTACAAAGTTGGAACATTGTCTGAAAACAGAATGTCATGATATGAAAACCCATTTTTAATTGGAAGTTGCACACAGAAGTCATGTGATATGTTGAAACAGAGAAATGTCATTGCGTCTGGACGATTGAACACCCACTTAAATGCCGACAACACATTTAAAAAAAAGTTTGGACGGTGGCATCAAAAGACTGGAAACGTAATGAAATGCTTAAAATAGCAGAGAGAATTTGCATTTGGCTTTTCAGACTGTTCTGATTCACACCATGACTCCACATTAATATTATCTGCACCAGATACTAACTTCACCAATACGAGAGTTTGGGAATCTTCCAACAGTTATCTGTTTTTGTTGTCGGGCCAAACCTCTGAAGATGCCATGTCAACGCAGTGCTTAGCTCTAACAAATCAAACAGGCTTCCATCTGGACGACCTTCAAGTCAGGAACCCCTGCTCAAGGATCCTATCCACCGAGCCAAACAAACACACACACACACACACACACACACACACACACACACACACACACACACACACACACACACACACACACACACACACACACACACACACACACACACACACACACACACACACTCACACACACTCTTTCATTGGACGCCCATGCACAGTCCCTGAAGTCTGGGCTTGCGTCTTTAAAAAGCCATGAACAATAAAGGCCTGATTAAATCCAGAATGGATTCAGGAAGTAGTGAAACCATTTGAAAGCGCGAGGAGTGCTTTCACACAACCCACTCCCTCAATAACCTCCACTCCAGCGCTGGCAGCCTTTTGTCTTTTGAGATTGTTGACTGCTCCACAGTCCTGCAGAACCTGTCACTTTTTTCATGTCTCCCATAACAGACTGGGAGGTCTCATACGCTTTAAAACTGACTCAATAAGGAGCTTATTAAAAAACAGATAGCAACGTAAAAGTGAGCAGAGGTTAATTTTAAGCACCGCTGACTTCTCTATCTCTCTTTGTTTTTCAGAAATCATAGACGACCTTTCACATCTCGTGGACAAGACAGACGACAGGATTCGAAATGAGACACGGAGGGTGAAGCTGGTGGAGACAAAGTCAGCCTCCTGTGGTGAGTTTACCTTCATGGAGGATCACCTTGTTCTATTATTTTTATTTTTATTTTGGGACTTTTATGCCTTAATTAGATGGGACAGATAGAGTAGGTAATTCGGGGGACAGAGTGGGAGAATGACATGCAGGAAGGAGCCGGCGATCCAAGCCGCCTACTTGGAGGACTGTAGCCTCCTTACCAGGGGCGGGACCTAACCCCTAGGCAAGGGATCATCAACCAGCCGCCCGTTGGCCACATCCGGCCCCCCAAAGCTTCCCACCCGGCCCCCAGAATATAAAAAAAATCAGAAAATGTGTGCAGGAAAAAAGATGTTGTGGTATTTAAGGTAAAGCTGTAAAAGCAAACTCAAAACAATTTAAGATAAATGTCGCTCTGCACATCAAATAAAATGTAAAGGAGCCCAGACCTGTGACATCAGGCTCGACAGCTGTGAGGTTATGTGCAAGCATATTTTAAAGTCCAGCCCCCCAAAGCTAGCCCTTGTACAGATGTAGTTGATGACCGCTTGGCCATCTGCGCCCCCACCTTGGTCTATTATAAGGAACCAAACTGTTTTTTTAAGGTCCCAGTTCTTCATTTTTCAAATCTGACTGATTGACCTTATCGATTAGCTATCCAGTGTTGTGCATCCTTTAGGGTGTCGGTAAGTCTCAAGCAAACGCCTTAACCAAATCCATTAACGCTACCAAGTCACAAACTCACAAACCCAGAGAAAGGCTGCATATCCGGTCATCAAAAAAAAATCCCATCCCAGCAGTCCGACTCTGCCTCAGTCTTTTCAAGTCTTTTTTTTATAAAACAAAACAAAAATGTCCTCTGTGGGTAAATCTTTTCAAAGGACCTCGGCCCACGATGAGAGGTGTGTTAGCGGGTTAAAGCCAATCTCTGGAATGTGGCTGAGTTTGCCCAGCGAAAAACGCCACACAGCATCGCTATAGCAAAGGCTGCATTGTTGTGCCGGGAGACCCCGGCTAACAGGCGGTCACCGACGGAGACGGAGGAGGCAATGGGAAGGTCAGCCCCCCCCCCAAGAATGCTTCATTCTGTGGGCCGTGTCCCCATGGTGCCCAAGCGCGAGTTTGTTTGAAGATCCCAGAGCTCATATTGTGTTGGAATCAGAACTCTTTTCTTTCTTTTCTTTTTTTTTGTTTAACTTGTTCTTTTGCCATTCCGACTCGCTCCTCCTCCCTTCGCTCAGTCAGTTCCAGGCCGAAGAATATTCATGGAGCGTGTGTCTCCTGCGTGCACCTGCATACCATGCATCAACGCTACCTGCTGTGCGCGTTGCTGGAGAGCACAAAGTGTCAGCCTAAAATGTCTGCAACTGTATTTGCACAGTATGATCTTGTTATAGTGTGTGTGTGTTTGTGTGTGTTTCACTGTGGATGGAAAATTCCCCCCTTGCGCTTCTTCTCTCTCACCTCAGTGCTCTCTCTCTTTTTTCCATTCCTCTCTGTCATCCCCCCCGTTCGTCTCCTCGCTTGTTTGACACTCGTCTTTGTGTCAAGCAGAGAAAGAATTGAAAATACGACATGCCACGAATTGTTCTGAAAGCTTTCCCTCTCTCTCCATGGCAGCGTGTTTATAATTCCTCGGCTGTAAGGCTTTATTTATTTTTTGAAGCCGCCTCTCATCCAAAGCCGGGCGTTTGGTGTTATGTCTCAGCCGAGTCCTTGTAAAGCTACAAATGTCTGGTTCTGACAGGCGGGGAGCATACTTAGCGTAACTATCGGGAGCTCCCCTCGTTGTAAAAGAGGCATCTCAATTATTTTTTTCTTTTCAAACACACGGGGAAACATTTCCAGAAATGTAAACAACAATGTTCGCTTTAGAATGAACAACATTAATCATGTGACACTTGCACTTTCGTTTTATGGGTTAAAACGTTTTCGATTAAAGCAAACACAAGAGATCCTAAAAAGTTTGAGCAGAAGGAAGCTGAAGCCGAGCGATGAGAAGAGTCGTCTCATCAAAAGATAATCACGCAGAGGTGCTGTCAGGAAACCTCAACCTCGTGAAAAGATCTCACATGCAGCCCAAACCCACCCTGATCAACTGCTATAGCCACACCTCATGCAAAAAAAAGGTATCTCTTGAATGAAATGATAAAGTGCCTTTAATACTGTATGATCAGACATTAAGGAAACATGCTATGTTGAAGTGCTGGCTTCTCTGACAACAATGCAGCAGCCAGTATGTCCTCCTTCTAACTTTAGATTCTGCTCCTGAATGCTCTGGATTTGTTTGGACCAGAGAAGGTAGGCGGTTTTAAGGCGACCCCCTCACACGGCCGTTTTGGACGCCCCTCGGTTTGTCAATATGAGAGCAGTTATCAGGTCAACAGGTGTTGCAGCGATGGAAGCGGGCAAGAGTCTTCAGAGTCCACCACATGGTGACCTGAGTGAGCATCGACTGTAGAGAGGAGGGAGACAGCTCTCTTATATTTCAAATTTGCAGTACCCATTTTAAACACTAGGTGTCAGAGTTACATACTGCTCCTTTAAAGAAGATATGAAAGCTTCCATAAACTGAGATGTTGAAGAATTTCTAACATTTTTATTGTAACTGAAGCTTCGATCTGTCATCAGCAGTTGCAGTATACAAACTATGCCCCCCCCCCCCCCCCCCCACTCCTCCAGCGCTCATTTAACAAGCTAAGCCTGATTCACAGAGTCATTACCACTTGTTTTAGATGTTGTTGGTGGGAATTTAGGAGTGGAGCCTTTGACTTTGGTCGGCTTAGTGTGGCAGATTAGTTTTCGGCACCAAAGGGTCTCTTGGAGAGTGGCGTGAGTTCCCTCTGAGCTTAGGCGTCACCGGCAGGCAGCATTGGGTGCTCGAGCGGCTCGCTCAGCAGAGATAATCCTCAGTTTGTGAGGAGGGCCACTTGTGCAAACCCCATGAATCCCGCAGGTGGTTCGCATCTCAAGTAGGTCTGTTTCTGTTTGGACTGGAGGGGCGGTCTGAGAAGACGGTGGGGGAGGGGCCGCTTTTGAGAGAGTTGGAAAACGAGCATTTTAAGGCGAATAAGTGATGTGAATAGTAAAGGGAGCACTCGTTCTGATCGATACGATGTTGAACTATTTCAACTCTGTCGACTTTAATCAGATTTTATTCTTCTTATGGCCCTCACATTTCTGCTTTAAAAAAGGACAGAAGAGTTTCTCAAAGTAATACAAGCTGCTAATGATGTTCCCACATCTGAGATTCCTCTTAGCGCCTAAAAAAGTTTAATGAAACTCACCTTGAAAAATCTATAAATATTTAAAAACCCCCCCTTTCACATCTCGTGTCTGCCAGGGTTTCTGCGAGAGCAATTTAGCTCTAGTTAATGTGCTCACGCCACAAAACGGCACCATGGTGCACATGATTTCATCCCAACAGCTGAATACCAGACATTTTAATCTGATTCAGATTACCTCAACGAGCTCATTTATTGGCGGACTGGTGGGTTAAAGACCATCGCTGGAAGAGAATGCTATGGTGACGACGAGCACAACTAAGTGGCCAAAAGATGCCGTGTGGTGGAGTGCACTACAAACAGGGTGAAGAACACACAAATAGGATTTTATTATCCTCTGAATCTAGAAACCTGAAGCTTTAAGTGTGAAAAAAAAGTGGATAAATGGAATAACGATAGGTAACAATAGGAAGAAGAATGAGGAAAGGCTTTCATTTTTTTCTGTTAAATAATGATCTTACCAGGTGATAGCGTTTTAAGATTAATTTTGGGGCTTTTTATGCCTTTATTTAGAGATAGGACAGTGGATAGAGCATGAAATAGGGGAGAGAGAGGAGGGGATGACTTGCGGGAAAAGGAGTCACAGATTCAAACCCAGGCCGCCCACTTGGAGGACCACAGCCTCTGTACATGGGGGCACTGACCACCGGGTTACCAGCGTCCCCACAATACCAGAATTGTAAATTTCAAGACAGTACTATTAAATCATAGATATCAATAACTTTAACTGACCCAAAAACACAACAGAATAAATATAGGCCAAAAATATTGGGTAATTATTTTGTTTATTTTTTTGCAAAAAGCTGCAAGCAGCCTTCTCCATACTGTTTGAATTGCACAAATACATTGGCAACGTTCCGGTACAGATTTGCTGTATTCGCTGTATTGAACCACAGCTACTCTCTCTATCACATAAACACAGGAGAAGTTAGGCAAAAAGAAAACTGTCTCTCCTCACAGCCTTCTTAAAAGTGACACACAATCAACCAGTCTGCTGATCTCCAACACATTAAGTTACCTGTCCACGTGAGCCAATCAGAGAGGTAGCTCTGTAATCAGTGCAACATGGGCTATAGGTGTAATCAATCTCACTTCCCCTGGAGTGAAGGAGGGGATTGAAGAAAAGGAAAAAAAACAATCCAAACAGTCCAAACAATCCATTGTCTTCAGTGACGAGTAGAGACCTAAAAAAATCCTTTAATTTGAGCAAGCCTCATATCTCCTACATCCCCTGAATTAACTCTCTGAGTCTAATTATGGTACAGTAGTGATATGTTTTATGTGCTCACATATTTAAGGTCCAGGTGTTTTCTATTCTTTGGATCATATTGAGACTTCTTTGAGATCTCGTACTCGAATAGAATAGAATAGAATAGAATAGAATTACTTTATTGATCCCAAACTAGGAAATTGTGGTACTACAATCCTCGGACCAATTTAAGGACTCAATCTTTTTCTTTGCTGTGATCTAGGAATGAGACATCTGTAAGACACTTTGAGAACTTGGGAATGTTTGTGAGCTTCAGGGACCATTGGATGGGAGAAAACTGACCAGCGTCACACTAACCTTGTTAACATAAAACTCCTTTTTCTTCAAAGGTCACCCTCCTCGCCTTTTGTGGTCCCAAAAGACGGAGGTTCAGAGGTTGTCTTGGTCTGTCCCAGGCTCTCACCAATTATTCCTTTTCTCTATGATTTGTCTTACTGATGTGTCTGAAAATTGCTAAAATGGGATGAACCCAGACTCTGCCCCCCCCCCAAAAAAAAACTCCTGGGTGGTCAGTCTATCAGCAGACACCAACTATCTCCCTCCGCATCAGTGTCACAGCACAGGCCTAATCTATCTGGCAAGCAAACGACATTATTGTCATTAGTCTCTTTGGGAATCTGAAGGGTCAGGAGAGGCTTGTTTGGTTACTGAGGCGGGCAGGAGGGTCAGGGTCAGCTCGGGGGATCTAACATGGCTTCATGACTGACTGTTATTTGACATTAGGGGGTGTGAGAGTTTTTCACCACACTAACATATGCACATGTTTTACAGCTCGGCCTCTACTGCTATTGTTGCTGGCAGAAGTTTGAATGAAATTCTGATGTTTGGATGTAAAGTGGGCTGGGTGCTGCTTTGGTATCTTTTACACTCAAACAAAGATAATTGCTGGAAACTTGTGTGTATTTGCTTTAAATTTGGGGCTTTTTAAAGAGACATCAAAAACGCTCTTCTAACGTGTGTTTCTACTTTGACATTTATATTATATACTCACATGTGTAAGTTATCAGGAGGAAATGCCCTGTGTACACTGAGCAGTCCTGAGAAATCCTGAGAATTCAAGAGTGGCCACAGCTCCCAAAGAAACTCAATCCCCATTAGGCACCATATTAAAACACCCAACTTCAAGGCAGGATTAAAGATGTTTACAACCTGGAACAGTTTTTGTTTCTATGGCAAACTTTCCAGTTATTTTAGGGCGTTTTCACACCGATGGTTTGTTTTCTCCGGTCTCAATCAAGGACCACTATGTTACATCGTTGCATAATTACCTCAAGTTTGTTCTGAGATCACTCGGGGACCAAAATGTGTGATGTGCAAACAAAATGCTCTCTGATTGGTCCAAATTTCTTGATGGAAAAATCCTGAAAGTAAACAAAAACTAGTTCCAATTTCAAAATGGACATACAACATCACAGATTAATGTTGGGGCTGGTTATCGTTTTTTATGTTGTTGGTATTTATCATTGTAGGCACATTTTTGTGTTCTTGTGTTTGTCGAAAGTTGTGAGTTTAAACAGTCATCCGACCAAATCTCTATGAGCAACCACATATCCTCATGAGTCCACCGTCCATCCAAGATTCATTGTGCTGCTGTTGTGGTGGCAAAAGGCTTATAATCCTACCCATGATACACTGCGCAGCCATCCAAAAATGTGCAATGCTTACCGCAGTCATGTTGGATGGAGGTCGGTTCATGTTCTTACTACAAACAAACAAATTTCACCAAAAAGCAGACCGAGACCTATCTTTGTCAATCGGCTTGGTACGGTTGTTTGGTCCATTAGGGTTCAACTGTCAGATTTCACAGCAGTGCACTATAATTTGGCAAATGGACTCGAGTTTGTTTTGATGAAACCCCAAAACTGTTAGGTATGAAAACACCCTTAAAGGTATCTGGTATGTTTCCTTCAGCTGCCCCTTTTTCATGACATATTCAAACAAGAAAATTGGTGTATTTGCATGTTTACTCTCTCTTCAACTCCAGTCTGCTACAACCCCAAATACTATGTATGTTTACTTGTGCATATGCCAACCCAACACTACTCTTCCTCTCCACCATTTGGTCAAAATATGGTCACTTCACTTCCAGAAAACCAACATGGTTGGGGGGGCAAATTCCAAACTTGAGGCTCCAGTCAAAAAGCCACTCGACAAACCAAAACCTGCATGTACTAGGATCCTATAAGATTAAAAAATAATCAGAGAAAGACATATTTAGCCATGAATTTCTCCAAAAACGATAGATGACAGTCAGGACACAAGGAGCCAAAGTGGTAAAAAAAAGAGACATCTGGACCCTCTAAAGCCACATCCTGGCAGAGCAAACCAGCATCAGCCGCACATTTCATCAGACCGCCGCACCACCACGACCACCGCAAGCAATTAGTTCAGCATGGCTTATATCTCGGCCCCCTTCTCTTCCCCTGTGGGAAAGACGACCAATTAGGCGGCGGAGGAGTGCGCGGGCGGAGAGAGCCAAAGAATGAGAGAAATGTAAACCCAAAGTGAAAGGCTGAGGGAAAATACCAGCGCTGTGCTTAATAACAATGGACTGCTCGAGTCAGTGAGAGGGGGACCGGCCTGATATGCAGTTGTTTGAAATCATCACTCCTAGAAGAAGGGGGGGGGGAGAGGGGGGGTGTATGGTTTCGTCCTTGGAGAAAGTCTTCCATATCTCACGAGTGTGTGGCATATTTGGTGGTAAAAGTCATAGAATATAAACACTACATGAGCGATAACCAAATCTGACAGGCATGCAAGTGTTTACGATGCGCACAATAAACCATTGCTGCTCTCGTATATTTCTCATAAGGATAGTTTATTAGTACCAACTGAACCTGTAATGATTGTCAGACTTTAGTGAATCAAACCAACAACTTTTTAAAGCCAGAGTCAGAAGCTTTTTCTAAAACAAAGTCAAATATAGATTTATACAAAAGTAATGCTGCTCAATTATCCCTTCTGGGCCTCCATACATGTCTGCAGAGACTATGTCCTCTGACTGGATTTGATTTGTTTCGGTTGACTCGTGAGGTTTTTTGGGTCGAGGAGCTGGTGTGTTTCCTCCAGCCAATGACAGCACACAGGTGAGTTTAGGAGAGGATACAATTCAGCGATTGGACGTGATTCAAACCAGTGATTATGACTAGAGATGCACTGAGCTCCTATTTTTAAGTACCGATACTGGTTCCGATATTTGTGTCGTGTGTGAGGCTACACAAAGCTGTAGTAAACCTGGCATTGCATTGTACTGTCTTCACATACAAACAGGAAGCAGGTTTTTCAAGTTAAATCTCTCAAACTGAAGTGTAAGAATTTTACTTTTTAACACATAGAAGGAGCTGTTGCATCTCGTCCGAACGTCGTCATGGAGACGATTTGTGGACACTTCTTTCCAGTTCGGTCTGAACGTCTTCAAAGTGAGACTGTGCGGGTTGAGAATGTTTAAAGTGTCCAACCATATTTCCTCAACTTAATTTTGTTTATATAGCACTTTAAACACAACATAGTTGATCCAAAGTGTTGAACATTGCAGAAACAAAGCATTAGAAAGTAACAGACAGTGACGTGGATCGGCTTCCTCTGTCCGATATCTAATATGTAAATTACATCGATATCAGACCCGATACTGATATAAGATCAGATCGGTTCCATCTGTAAATACGACTGACCTGGACGTAGCAACAAAGGAGAGAAAATAATGATAGTGAGGTGAAAAGCCAAGCAGATAAAGTTTTAGTTCTTGTAAACTCTACTCTCCAGAAACCATCTAAGGAATCAGTTTGTTTGTGGCTTTAGTTAATAAGCTGCATCAAACCAGATTCCGTCAGCTATTTAAATGATTCATATTCAATAAAAAGTGATGGTAAAGTTCCCGAAAGACATTCATCTTTTTTACGAAGGACCAGAATTCCTGTAGTGGATTTTACACACTTTTTTTTTTTCCCTGGGTGGTGGCTACAATAAAAAGTGTAATATTTTCAGGTCCTGGGGGTTTAGCGCTTTGATGAAGTGTGAGTGAGCGTTTGCACATTTTTTTTTTCTCCGCTTCCATGGTATCAGTGAAAAACAATGATTATCCTCTCGGAGCACAATCAGAAACACATGCCTATCACAGGGTGCGATCTGCAGCAATAAAGCGTCTGTGGCTGTTCAACGCATGTAAACTGCATTAAGTCATCAGGAGAAAAAACGGTGATATGCTGTGAGGGCAAACTCACTCGGGACCCTCGTTAGATCAAGGCCTTTGAAAATTCATCGTGAGGTATGCAGGCTCCTTAACTCTTCCAAGTGTATTCCCCTGTGTCTGCTCTGAGCCCCTCCCCCTCCACCTCCTCCTCTTCCTCCTCCTCCTCCTCCCTCCTCGTCCTACTCCTCTCTCCTTCTCTTCCTCTCTCCTCCTCCTCCCTCTTCTCCTCCTCTTCTCTTCTCTCTCCTCCTCCTCCTCCTCCTCTCTCCTCCTCCTTCTCTCTCCTCCTCTTCCTCTTCCTCACCCTCCTCTCCTCATCCTCTTCCTCCTCCTCTTCCTCACCCTCTCTCTTCCTCCTCTTCCTCATCCTCCTCTCCTCATCCTCCTCTCCTCCTCCTCCTACTCCTCCTCCTCCTCCTACTCCTCTCTCCTTCTCTTCCTCTCTCCTCCTCCTCCTCTCCTCCTCTCTCCTCCTCCTCTTCCTCCTCCTCCTCCTCCTCCTCTCTCCTCTCCTCCTCCTCTCTCCTCCTCTTCCTCACCTCCTCTCCCTCATCCTCCTCCTCTTCCTCACCCTCCTCTCTTCCTCCTCTTCCTCATCCTCCTCTCCCTCCTCCTCTCTCCTCCTCCTCCTCCTCCTCCTCCTCCTCCTCTATGAGTCTGTCTCACATCAGGTTCAAACTCCTCAGCAGCTCAACAGCTACGTTTTCAGAGTTAAAGGACCAATCAGTAAAATATCTACTGAATGAGATGATGAAGGTACCTCACTATATGATCAGACATTAAGGAAACATGTTATGTTGAAGTGCTGGCTTCTCTGACAACAATGCAGCAGCCAGTATGTCCTCCTTCTAACTTTAGATTCTGCTCCTGAAGGCTCTGGATTTGTTTGGAACCAGAGAAGGTAGCCGGTTTTAAGGCGACCCCCACACACGGCTGTTTTGGACGCCCCTCAGTTTGTCAGATATGAGAGCAGTTATCAGGTCAACAGGTGTTGCAGCGATGGAAGCGGGCAAGAGAAGTGGTTCAGATAGAAGTGATTGTACCCGACCTAAAAAGCCTCTGCATGTTTCTAATAAGCTCCACGAGCAGAAACGTGCTCAAACTAGGATCAATATTGGAGATGCTTTTGAAAAATGGAGAGAGGTTAGAACACAGAAAGGTTTACAGACCCATGCAGAGCTGGATAAACACTGAAGCTTCAGTGATCATTTGTGCATCATGACAGAATGATTTATCCAGCTATCGTTCTTGACACCTGTTCTCTCTTCCTCTCCTCCCTCAGGTATGATGGTCGTGATCGTCCTGCTCCTTATAGCCATCATCGTGATCGCTGTGTGGCCCGTGTAGCTGAAGAGGACAGCGGCGGTCGTGGACACGGCAATCCCTACACTTTGGTTGCAGAATCCTACTTTTAAACCTCGTGCACATGTACAGACATTCTTTTAATCCCGATCTCTAGTCGGGTTTTTATTTCCCATTCTCTCTCTTCACATTGAGACACAAAGGTTGTGAATGATTTCCCGACAGAGGCGATGTGAAAAAACTCCTTTAGCGGCACGGTACCATGTGCCTGGTGACATCAACAATCATTTGGGTGAAAGGCAAAGAAATAACTTCTGTGTAAACTGTCTTCTTTATAGGTGTCATTAAACTGAAAATGTATGAATTAGTCAAACTGTTTGGAGGTTTTTTAAACCCCTCTGATCCTGGACTGTGGTGAATGTTGACCCAGGAGTAGGACCTCCCGCAGGCAGCAGGAGCGTTCCCCTCATAAGTCTGACTGTGGTCTGTCTGAGGCTCACCCTGCCAACAGTCATTCTGCAAGCTTTGCAATACTCACACTCACTTCTATTTACTCATGCATTACTGTAGCAGCTGTAATGTTATCATTTGTCTTCAGATTTTACAGAGTTTATAGAACAGCTCTCAGCCAAAACAAGCAGCTCGGCTGTGTGACTAACATGGCTCTCTTGTCCTTCGTTGTAAATCAGCTCGGCTCGTAATTTCTAATAAAGATCATTTCTAGTTAAAAGTCCCCGGGCTCCTGTCTGTCTGCTTCAACGCTCCGGCCTTACTCTGCAGAATCGTACCGTTTAGTGTCATGATGATTGGTTGGGTGCATTTTTTAAAGGTCACATGTTATGCTAAATCATTTTCACCATGTTTCTCTGACTCTAATATGTGTCTCTAGTCCGTCTACAAACCCCCCAATGATGAGAAAAGTCCATCTTCTCCGTCTTTTGCCTGCTCCACTTTTCAGAAAATATGTGCTCAAACAGGCCGTTTGGAGATTCTCCCTGAGTGACATCACAAAGGGCAGTAGCCCCTCCCCCAGGTGGGTGTCTCTTTCAGACGTATTTCTAGGAGGGTTGAAATTTTCTTTTCTTTCTTTTTAGAACCAATTATCTGAAGTCCATATATCATGTTTTATTTTATGGGTGGCCCTGGCTCAGTTGGTAGAGTCATCACCTCTCAACCAGAAGGTCAAGGGTTCAATCCCCAGCTGAGCAACATGTCCAATGTGTCCTTGGGCAAGACACTTAACCCTGCATTACTCCCTCTGCTTCAGTGGCAGTGTATGAATGAATTAGTGTTGTACTTACTCTCTGATATTCGTCCTTTGGATAAAAGCGTCTGCTAAGTGAATTGTAACATTTATTTTGAAATTGACTGGACGCTCTGTGAGTTTCCTTTTTCTGACTTCCTGTCCGGGTCGTTCTATTCCGTCCAGCTTGACGTGTGCGTGCAGCTAATTTGAAACAGATCAGGCGCATCCACAAACTCCTTGCAAACTCATAACACTCACATAATCAAAAAACGGATTAAATAAAAACAGACGCTTTAGGATTTTGAATGTAACAAGAGTTTATTTGAACTGAAAATCAGAATTTAGTTCTACCAGGTTGGTGTGTTCAGTAGTTATTATTTCCTTCTTTAATGGCAACAATCTAAAACGAGCACAAACAAAATACAAAAAAAAAAATAGAGTTGAAAAAAAGACAATAAAATCCACAATGTCTTGTGTCATTAAATATATTCATATATAATAACCATAATATATTAGTACGCATTGTAAAACAACATTGCAAAAAGTCTTGGCAATGGTGACAACTAAACAACATTTACAATTCATAGTATGAACACAAAGCAACACGCTTTGACAGGTGTGTGTGTGTGTGTGTGTGTGTGTGTGTGGTGTGTGTGTGTGTGGTGTGTGTGTGTGTGTGTGTGTGTGTGTGTGTGTGTGTGTGTGTGTGTGTGGTGTGTGTGTGTGTGTGTGTGTGCGGGTTCATCAGGAAGCTCGTCAAACCATCGCTGAGGACACAGGATGTCACATTTACAGCATGAGGCTCCACGGACTCTAAAGGTTACAGACGACTTTGAGCCAAACAGAAACACTGACATGGACAGTTGTGGTGCGGAGTGAGACATGAAGGCAGGAACATGTGATCATGTGATCATAGTGTGTACGATGATGTCATCAGTGATGCTGGCGAAGCACGTAACATTCTTATGGACGTCGTCTAACCCGACACAGATTATCTTCTTCTTTTTTTTTTCCTTTTTTTTTTTTTTACAGTTAACTCTGGTGAAATCGATCCATCAGAAATCAGAAATTATTGTCATTAAATGAAGGAAGTTGTAAGGAAGCCCTAAAGGGACATGCATCCAAACATTTATTATTTTCTTTCAAAATAAAAGCAGGTTTTTAACTTAACAGGAAGTACAGTTCTCTTAGCTTAAAACAAAATACAAAATAAAAGCATGACAAAAACTGTTTTTGAAATGAAAAAAATGTAATTAATCGCAATTAATTTTTGTATTTTAGCGTTTGATCGTGATGAATCGTGTGACAGCTGATGTCTAGAAATCGTTATCACGGGAACACAGAGATTATTGAAATGTACCGATGTATGTCCAGTCAGGGCTTCCGTAGAGATCCACTAGATGAAAACCATTGTTAAAAAATACCTTTCGAGTGAATAAAATCCTGTAGAACATCGAACACGTGACATGGACTGAAAGGAATCCCCGTTTATTTATTTTTACAAACCTGAGCTGTGTTTTTCTACACGCATCCCTCCAGAGGAATCCAAACTGAAACTTCACACTAAATAAAAAAACGAGCGATGTGGTTTGAATCGAGCAGCACCAAGCGATTGCAATTCAGCCCGTTTGTCCCTGTGCGAGTGTGGAGGTGAAGAGAATGAATGTGACAGGTCAAAGGGGACACTGCAGCTCCTGAGTGTCCCTTCTTTAAAGAGAATGTACAGTCATGCATTGTGTTTGCAAAAGAGTGTGTGTGTGTGTGTGTGTGTGTGTGGACTGGGACTGTATTTAAATGCTCCCTCATTGGACCGTTGGATCTGATTTTATAGAGATGGAAAACGAGAAGAGGTGGACTCCAGAAAAACACACGATCATGATAAGTGTGTGAGCTTTTTCATGACGGATTCACCGCTGCAGCACGAGGTAAGGACATCCTCGTCGTCTTCTGATTCCGATGCTAATCCCTCCTCTTACAATCTGCATTCAAACATCGATGAAAACTAAAGATGTAAGAATCTGTGGGGTGGATTTTAACATAACTCAAAGCACACACGTTGGATTCACTTAAAGAAACTGCAAAGAAAATATGTCCACTGGGGTTCAAGGGAAGAGGAGAGATGGTGACAGCCTTCTTTTTTGCCTCTTGACACTGAGATGTGTGTGTTGCAGTTTTATTTTGAAAAGTAAAGAAGAGGAAAGGAAGTAACTTTAAATTTCATCCTCCTTTGAGAACATGTACGCTTTGTTGTTCAGGTTTCTTTTTTCTCTTATTCTTTTATTGACATCAAAATTATCATTCAGTGAGCTAAACTCTATTTTTGTTAACAAGGCAGAAGGAAACTCTCCAAAAATGGAGGTCGTTGCTCTCAGAGGCGGACCTTAAGCTTTTTAACATATTTCAGTGGACTCCTTCTCTCAGAGCGGATCCAAGGGAAGAACTGGAGCACATGAATCACTTAAGGCAAATGTATTTAGGTGCAAAGGACTAACGTTTCCATGCACTGCGTCGTCAGTGACAGATATTTCTCTTTCAGGATTAATCTGTCGTCATTTATTGTCTTCAAATATTTGTTTTCACGAGCTGGTAGAAAAGAAAAATGTTTACATCGACACCAAAGTCTGCATTGATGCTCTTGTGAAATACCGTGTGCACATCTTCATGCTGTACTTTCACCCACACAGCACGACCCGCCACAATAAAAGCCCAAACACAATTGGTCTTCTGTGAATTTTCCTGGAAATATTCTCACTTAAATGTGGATCAAATTCATTAAAAACAAAAAAAAACTAAAGAGGCCATATTATTTTTTCTGCATATTAGTGATCCAAGAAAAGATGTTCTGTGGTTTTATTTTGTTAAATATAAATCGATAATGTTAGCCTTTCTCCTTCTTTAGGGCTAAAAGATCCTGCAGGGTTTGTTAAATAGAAAATAAAACATATCAGTAACTCAGTAAATCAGTGCGTTTTTGGAAATCCAATTTTTGTAAAAATGTGGGTTTTGTAAATGCAAAGGTTGTGATTTTTTACTGCAGCCTGTTCTCCGTAAATCACTGCAACTCATTTATATAAAACTTCAGAATCTGGAGCATCACTAGTGGTCGGCTAACTGGACATAACAGGATCAGATGTGAAGCGTTCACATGCAGCTTTGTAGGAAATACAGAACCAGTAGAATCCAACCAGTAAAGACAGAAAAGGGCCCAACAGATGATTTAAGCAAACCAGAGATTATTCAGGGAGGGGGGGTAAAGCGACAGATTTATCTTTAAGTCTCTCCTGACATCATGAAATTCTTCGATTGTAAAAATCTTAAATGTAGGACGACATGTTTTATGTTTCTTGAGTCACTGATGTACCTGGTTTTGTAAGAAAAGGGGAAATGATGGAAGTAATATGTAGATAAATGTGCTGTGCATTCATGTGGCTTACAAAAAAAAAAAAGGTTTTATGGCACAATTCTTAAAGAAGGACTCGTGACTGAAACCCACACAGGTTAAATAACCTGCAGCGGCTTAGAAGTGGCTTTTTTTTTGTTTTTTTTTGTTCTGTGTCATTTTTAGAACCAGCAGTAAACGTCCATGAAATCAACAATGTACAAAATATAATGCTGTCATACGGAGATAAAAGGAACACAGATAACTTTATATGCTGGTAATAGGTGCAAATTCGGCAAAAATCCACGAGAGAGACAGATCTCAGAGTAAAATAAAAACCATCACACCAAATCTGCAGGGTGAGCTCCTTCAACAAAAGTTCACTAGAAAAAAACATCCTAAATAATTCTCTTCATGCTTCTACACAAAAAAAAAGCAGCGACATAAACAGTCTCTTGTCTGTCCGTGGTGCTCCGCCTGCCTCTTTTCCAATTTTTTTTTTTTTTTTCAAACAACCCGCTCAGCTCTCCTCTCCATGTTCCCCCCCCCCCCTCCCCATCGTCTATGGCTTCTTGCACTTGCCTTTCTTCTCGCGCTGCTGGAACTTCCTGAGCCTGCGCGCCCACGTGTCCCTCCACTGGATAACCAAGCTGCCTTTGTCTGCCACCACGCCGCTCTGCCCGGGGGAGTCCTCGTCGTTCCCCAGCAGCAGGTACTTCTTCCCCGGCTTGATCTTGGGACACTTGCAGGCCACGTCCTTGGCGCGGACCCACAGGAACTGGTCGCCGCGGCGGATGCGGCTCTCGCCTTGCTTGTACACGGAGATGATGTTGACGGTGAACTTCCACCACTCGGCGGCTTTGTCCGCCTTCAGGATGTGGACCTGGACGGCTGCAGTAGACAACAGAGATGACACATTATCACTTCATGAGAGATTTACGACATTCCACCGATGTGCAATCAGCGTCTCGGCAGGAGGTGATTTTTTATTAACAAAGAGTCTGCAGCCATTCTTACAACTTTATGAGGCTGTAATGAGGCCCAGCGGTGTTTGAGCTAAATGCTAACGCTAGTGTGCTCACATGCTGCCAATAACAAAGACGGATCTGTGGAACACCGTACATGAAACGTGCACTCATTTATCTGCCTTCAAAGTACTAATAAATAAAAAAACAGATAAAACACAACATTGCAAGGACACAAATATTTGTTGCATTAAGAGAAATGTTTCAACAGTTGACCTTCAGGACTGCTGTAAATTTTGGGGTCATGAGAAAAAAAAAATCTCTGCAAAATCGAACTTTTCCCTCATGATGCTCGACAACAGAGACAATCTCTAGGACTAAAGCTAAACCTATCATCCTGAGCTGAGCCTTGAAGCGTGCACAATGTTTACAGTATGTTACACATTACAGGAGAAGTCCATTAATCAGCAAGTCATTCAAAAGCATCCTGTGGAGAAAAACTCTGCACATTTAAAGCGTTTGCACCCCCGTGGACAAAGTAGCGCCCCCTCTTATCTGGGCAAAAAATTACTGAAGGCAGCACATCTCAAACTCCAAGTTAAGAACAAAACACTAACATCACATCACAGAAAAAACAAAAGCATGCACTCCAGCACAATGCCATCTTCAGAGCGTTTTGTAATGACCACCTCTACTGTTTCTAAACACTGTTTGTTAAAGTTTGTTGTCATGGTAACTTAAAGGGGACATATTATGAAAAGTGTTTTGAACATTTTTTTGGTAACCTGAGTGTCTACTGACCCACAAATGTGAAATAAACCCATCCAGTCCTTTGTTTGTGGTCTGCATAAGTCTTACAACACAGAGAAAAATGCTCTGTTTCAAATGTGCTCTCCTTGTGATGTCACAGTGGGATTCTGGGAAAAAAAAACAAAAAAACTCTCCCCTCCCCTGATACCTCCACCCATGGACTCGACTAGAACGAAACTTTTGCGCAGGTCCTCCATTTTTATTCTCTCTACAGAGGAGTGATGTCTACGGGGAAAACTCAGGGGGGGCTCATTACATTTAAAGAGACACACACACCAAAACGGAGCGTTTATAGAGAGAGAGCTGGTTTATACAGGGTCACAAACCTCCTCTGGTGTTTGATTCATGTTATATTTTGACCACAGCACAGCACAGATGTTTCATTTAGACCACAGGGGGTCTGTTTGAAAAGGTGGAAAAGTGCCATAATATGTCCTCTTTAAAGTAAACATATCGAGGTAACCACATCAGATCGTGGTCAGGTCAAGCGTTTCTTATCGGGATTACACGCTGCTTTGCTTCAAGTTTGGACTCTATGGTTATTCTTTTCACAAAGTACGTCTACAGCACAGCGATCTCAACATATACTTTATTTTTAGAAGGTTAAACGAGTGTCCGCGGTGCATTCACCTTTTCGTTTTAGTCTTTCCATGCCCTGCCGCCGTGATCCAAATACTCCTGGTCTTCTGTGCCAAAACTTTCACTTTTAACAATCCCTTTCCCCCTGAAACCGTCCAGTCATTATTTATTTATCGATGCAGTTAAATAAGACTTGTTATGAGAACTAACCACCGCTCTCCTTTATGAAGACATGCAGCTATTTTTATTATTCTAATGAGAGCTCGTGCTTCGCTCCAATTTGCTGCATCAGGTTTTCATCGCGGCGTAACCACCGCGCTCAAACATCTCTGTCACAATGGAAGGAAAGACTCTTTTTTCCTGCCAGGCCTCGCTGCCTCTTTTTCCAACTGTGACCACTATTCAATCATCGGGCCGCTCTGTCCTCAGAAACAACAAGAGTAGAGTTGGCAGTTAAAACCCCACAGGGCACGGTGTGGTGAGGGGCTCACGGTGAGTTCTGACCCTTACTGGGAGTCATGAAGGATTCTTTCACAGAGGAGGCTCGCCTGATTGGCCTCAGTGTCACACGGGGTCAGTTTACTCAATCTGGATGATCGAACAGCAGGGGCGTGCCCAGAGGGGTGGCATGGGCCCCCCTAGAAATCCAATTGGCCACCCTAGGTGCCACCCCAAAAATCCAAAACTGTGATGTTAGTAAGGCTGAATAATTGATATTTATTTGTGTGTTTGTTCCCACATCACACTTAAAGCCCTCCCAGTATAAGTCAGTGCCCCAGTTTAAAAAAAGTCTGGACATGCCCCTGTTGAATAACTTAATAATCAAAACAGATCACCCACTGACGCTGCAATCGTCACACATTTCTTGGTCAGGTGAGTGCAGGTAGTAATGCTCCTGTGTAGAGTTTCCATAACTTCTCTGTTTTCTGTTTTGTTAAGCCAAAGAGTTATGACACCGAACCGCCCCAGCAGCGATTTCAGGCTTCAATAACAATCACCTTGAAGTATTCAACCTTCATGCTGATGGTCTTGTTAGCTTTTGTATGTCCTAAAGAGGCATCAATATTCATTCTAGTCTGTTATTATAAGCCCCTAAAAACATCTCACAGGAGCTTTAAAGTCAACACTTTAAGTAAATAAATGCTAACAGTAAGCTAATGCTAATGCTAAAGGCCTCATATCTGGATTGGAACCAAATCCTTCTGATGACATCCAAACAAGTTGGATATTTTTGTGATTTTTAAAGGTCTCTTAAAAGGCATACATTTTTAGATGTTTAATAAATGATTTTCTTTCTTTGATGTGGATATTTAGTGATATTTATTTTGTCATCAAGTTAGCACGAGCTGCAGAAAAAGCCGTTGCTAACACCTACAAGGTGAATAAATCTATAGAAGGGAAGTCATTAAATTCAGAAAAATAAAGAGTGACAGGTCCATTATCATGGACTAAACCTGTGGTACAGATAGTGTTTTTTTATCCTCAGTGGAACAGGCTGCTCGCTGGTCCAGCAGTGATACAGAGCTCCACATGCATTATGCCCATTACTACCGACAGACCTCAGTGACTTGTAATGTGATTTAGGGGCGAGTGAGGACTATTAGCTGGAAGACAGTGGGTGATATAATGTGATGAATCAGCTGGTTCTGTTCCTCAGAGAGAGAGAGGAAGAAGGTTTCCTCTCATTGATCCAAACCCAGCACGTATCAATATGCATTACAGCGACCACAAGTTCCATTATACTCCCCCTGTAGTTACAGGCTCTTAAAGTGACTGGCTGTGTTTCACCTTCATGGTTCACTAATAGAGAACCTACATTAAGCACTTTTAAGGTTTTTCTCCCTTTGGTCCTCTACATAATTACTGCCTCTGTGGTCACACTTTATGAATGCCCAAGTTCAAAAGACTGCTGATGATTGGGAGCTGGGCTGTCTCTGCACCGTCACTGCCTGCTTTTTTGAATTTCACAACAGTATTATAATTCAGGGCTGCATGGTGGTGCAGTTAGTGCTGGTTCCTGGTTTGAATCCACCAAGCATTCTCCACCTAACGTTTTTTTTCTGGGCGCCAGCATCATTTTTCTATTTTTCTTACAATGAGTAGAGAGCGTTCACAGTAGAAAGCAACCGCCTCGAGAAAAAGTCAGGACATACTGCATTCATTCATTCGTCTTTGTCCTGTGGCTGTTTGTGTTCATTCTCTGGCCGCACAGAGAAGAGTCTCACCGTCACTCTTAACTGCAACTGACTATTCTCACCTTCAGTGTAATTCTATGCCGAGAGTTAAGGTGACACTGCAAGAGAGCCCCAGCGTCTTTTCTTCTGAGCGCTCTGCCTTTTTTTGAAATCTTGAGGCGCTGTTGAGTCACCGGCGCTCTTTTCCAAATGTATGATATTCTCTGTTTTTGCCGTCTTGGATTTGTGTCTCGTATCCACATCCTCTTTGCTCTGTGTCTGATCGGCAAAAACGATCCCAAATATAAGCAGTGTTGGTCATACAGCGGACGTTGTCAACAGACTGTTGTCATAGAGACGGGCAAACACTCCGGTGCGCACAGCCAGTGCTTTTCTGCCCAGAAAAAAAACTCTTGGTGGACACGAGGCCTCCCTCAGAGCTTTGAAGGCCCCTAACGATAAAGTCCAAACTACACTATACTGGGCTGTCATTGGCAATAAACTTAACCTCCATGCTGCTTGTAGATAAATGTCATCCTGATGTTTGACCTGCTGTGACCCCAGCACCACCTTGACCCCGCCCCTTCTTTCTGTTCTGTCTGTTTGAGTTAAGTGAATAACTACTGTACACTGAAAAGTATGCTAGTTATACTAACCACTGATTATTCTAAGATCAGACATCCCCCCCTCCCTCCCTGCCCCCCCGCTCCCTCCTGTGATTCTTTATGTGCGTCTGTATGTCGACCGCAGAAAGCTTGTAGCGTCGTTTCTCTACGCAGCATGGCGCCCCGCTCCCCTGCTGCTCTTTTCACAACGACCCCGCAGCCACAGCATCGCTCTACTCATTCTGTAGATCCACATTGTGTTTGACTTTTCTTTTTCGATCAGCCTCGCCGAGCTGGTTGTGGGTTTTTAAAAAAAACAAAACTCTACGGGGATCTTGTTCCAGCTTGTTGTGAATCTCGAAAACATGCTGCTGCAAACTATAGATGGATATGACAAGCGGCTTAATGCTTCTCGTGTACAAAAGCCCCCCTGCTGACGGCGAGGCACGGGGAAAGTGGATTACACAGGGGATGATGGAATATCTCAAACTAATGGTGGACACATGGTTTCACCAAAACCTGACTGTAAAAAGGGGAAACAATCCTATTTATATAAACTATATTAACCTCGGTGCAAAAAGAAACATCCATATCTAAACCATCAGAACCAGCGGCTCCCTCACACCTCTCTCTTTTCATTTCTGACACACACATGCCAAACCCTTTGTGAGCCTCCCCCTCGCTTCACTCATGGGAGATTGTACATACATGAGGGCACTCAGTAACGTGTTGAGTGATTGTTTTCTCTCCACTACAACATCCTCATGTCTCTTTTTTACCGCTCCACCTCTCCACCCTCCACTGAATGCCGCCTGTGTGAATCACTCAGGTGTGACATAAATGTTCCACTGATGAAACCGTCTGTCATCTCTTGCAGCGGATTTGGACGAAAAAATATGGACCTGATATTGAAAAAGATAACACAACATCGTCTGCAAAGCACATAACTCAGGAGCTCCTTTGACTTTGTGGGAGCGAGTTTTTGTGACTTTTGCGACCAAGCGGCAACTTCCAGTGTTGAAATATGAAGCCAATGTGGATACGGGAAAAAAATAATAATGCAGTTCCTCGAGTGTCCACTTGAGGTTTGATCCAAAAGCTAGGAATCCCTATCAACACCCATGTAGAAATTTACATTTTTAAAGTAGAAATAAAGAAGTTTACAGCCTTGAACAAAGTACCTTCATCTAAGTCAAGCAGCATTTCACAATAAAAGCATCTGGGTTGGAGACATTTTGGCTCATTAAAGGTCACATGTTCTCATCCTCTTCAACCAGTTTAAATAAGTCTTAGAGCTCCTAAAATCATGTGTGTGAAGTTTCTTGTTCTAAATCCACTCTGATCCTATATTTGATCATGTCTATAAACCCCTCTATTTCAGCCCTGCTCAGAACAGGCTGTTTCTGTGTCTGTACCTTTAAATATGTAAATGAACTGTGTCTGACCACGCCCCCTCTCTGGAAGGGCTTGGGTTTCTCTGGCTTTCTCGCTCCTATTGTTTACGGTGAGAAGGCAGACTCAGAGGGCAGAACAAACACCTAGCTGTGGGAGTGTCACCCACCTGGGGGAGGGGCTACTGCCCTTTGTGATGTCATGAAGGCAAAGTCTCCAAACGGCCTGTTTGAGCACACATTTTCTGAAAAGTGGAGCAGGCAGAAGATGGAGAGGATGGACTTTTCTCATCTTTGGGGGGTTTGTAGACAGACTAGAGACACATATTAGAGTTAGAGAAACATGGTGAAGTGTATTTGGCAGAATATGTGACCGTTAATCAAAACGCTCTCCATCGACCTTTGGAGCCAGCCTCTACTGGACACTCCAGGAACTGCAGCTTTTTTGCACTTCATTTCCTAAGACACATGGTCGCCCCTTGATTGCAACTCTCTGAAAACAGTCAGATAACTGAAACAATCTTGAACATTTGTTGCTGAGCGGCTCCCTCCTCCCGCCAGCAGCAGTGAGGAAGGCCCTTGTTGGAAGAGGAGGTGTCAATAAGCCGACCCCCTAACTCCTCCAAATCCTCTGCAGAACAAAGCCCGCGCCTGTCCGTCAAGCTGCTGAGGTATGCTGCAGGATGCCGGCTGATCGGTTGACCGGTTTCAGCAGCCTGACTTCAATCAGGGGAGGGGACTCGGGGAGGGGCAGAGGGGAGAGGTCATACGTCTTATCCACACCTTGAATGGCGTGGCGGACGGGTGCTCACAGGAATGCAGCGAGAAACACGTCGGTTTTAGGAGGGGGGGGAGTGGTCTGGCTTAATGAGGATCTCTGAGAGAGCACCCACTGTCCGTCACACTGTCTATGCTTTATCCAGCCCTGTCTTAAATGCCTATTCAGAGACCCCCCCCACACACACACACACCTCAGCCTAATTCTTCATCCTGCCCTTTCTCTCCTTCTGTTTGTCTGCTTCGCTCTTCTTCCTTGAAGATTTGCTGTCGTCTGTTTGATCCTTTGTCTCTGTGCTCAGAGAGCCGGAGTGAGCCATCAGTGAGATGCCTCCTCGACAACGAGTGTCAGAAATGTTGGATTTCTGAACAGATTTGTGGTTGTGTTGCAGCGATTACACTGCTTCCAACAGTCTGTCCATATAAATATATATGTCCAACTTTAACATGTATATCTTTGATTGCACGGCCACGAATTTGCACAGCTCTGGACAACCCTCTATATCATTATTTGAATTTCTCTTGGGATCAATAAAGTATCTATCTATCTATCTATCTATCTATTATTGCACATTCACCACTGTCATCACTGTTTAATGCAAACTTACATCTCTTACCTCCAGCAAGTTTTTTTACATTCAGTTGACAAGCCTGAATAAATGTTGTATTTTATTTTTATTTTTGTTTTTTTAAACCAGTAGGAATGTTAAGTTAAATCCTTGATTCATGAATCTCTTCTTATTCTTATTTTTTATATTTTAAGTGCTTATTTACTATGTATCTATTCTTATATCGTTGTATTTGCTTTGGCTGCTGAAACACCACAATTTCCCAGTTTGGGATCAATAAAGTCATTCTATTCTATTCTGACACATACTGATTGGTTGAACAACGCAAAATTGTTGAAATGATCCCCAGAAAATGTCCTGCCTTCAGTCATCGTTTTAAACCAACCATTAAAAGAGACTCGCACAAATACATTGGCAACTTCTTGGGGTTGCAATGTTTTTATGAAACCTGAAGAGCGGCATAGAGGAAGCACGACGAAATGAAGGCCTTCCTGCTCCTGCATAGTCGTATTTTGCCTCGTTCAGTTGTGAATTTAATTTAAAGATCAGATTGGCTTCTGTGGAAGATGCTTGTTTTGAGTTCTACCTTTTTCCTTCAGTTGGTTAATTAATCTCTTTTTTTCAATCTGCTTACACTCAGTATCTCCTTCTTTCCCCGGGGTTTTATTTTATTCTTACTCTGCTCATCCTTCCTAGCCATCTTAGGGAAGGTAACATTTGCTTTCAACTTTTACTAATCATAAAGAAAAAATTACCTGATATTGGGAGCCTAGGACATTTGAAACATTTAATGAAACAAGAATCATTAAAACTGTATCAAAGTTTAAAACTCTGGTTTGGTTACATCCCTGAATCAGACGGAGAAACGTGTTTTTGGGAACCCGGGTCTCGTCAGTGAAATAATCTCCGGCATGTTTCATCCATCAGACACATGTTTTTAAGCTTTCCAGTAAATCTGAACATTATTCCAAGTCTCAGGTTAAAAAGGATGGCGTTGTTGACTCACCGTAATCTTTCTTGCAATACTTCTTCATGTTGATCTTCAGTTTGCCTTTCGAAGCCTTGCAGTAAGAGTCGCAGTCTGGAAAAAAAAACAGAGAGAGAAATCAAAGTTAAGAGGCCGGACGAGGAAAAAAGAACTCGGATGATTTGTTATTTTTTAACGGGATAAAGTTTTATTTTGGCAGGAGAAAGAAAAAAGGTGTTTGTCTGTAACATGAAGGCCTCATTTTAAATAAAGTGAAATACAAATCTGAAATATTGTTCTCAGAACTTTGTAAAGGAAATCCTAATAAAATTAGACTCTAATGATTCCTCATATTTACTGTCTGCATTAACTAGTTAATCAGGATTAATGTCTGAAATTAATGTATTCATTTATTTTGTATCAAAATTAATCTCATGCTATTTTGTCCCTTTAGGCTCACCGTAGATTATCCTCCTCAGCTTTAGACAGCACATTACAACATTTCAAAATAAAAGCCTAACAATTCATATTTTTAAACGTGATTAAATTTGTGATTACTCTCGATTCACTTTTGAAATTTCCTGATTAACCTGTATATTAAAAAAAATCATTTGACAGGCCAAATTTTAAAATGTAATTCTTTTGCCTGACTGTTGATTTTTATTTTGTTATTGTCCTGAGTTGATCTCTTTGCTTTAAGCGCATGCTAAATAAATAAAGTTATTATGATTATAGGTGAATACTAGAATAGAATATCTTTATGTAATTGTAGCAGGTACAACGAAATTCAATGTGAAACTTGTCGTCAATGAGACGGTAAAAAAAGTAAACAACAACAATATTAATATAAACAACACAGTAATACATGAAAATGGCAAAGTAAGGGACGCCGATGGCCTAGAGGTGAGGTCATGCCACATGTGGTCAGGCTAAAGTCCACAAAGCAGGCTAGAGCTGGAAAGGAGGCCCTGGTCGGACTTGAACCCGGGGCCTCCTGTCCTGCATGTCATACCCGACTCTCTCTCTCTCTGATTTCCAGCTCTATCGACTGCCCTGTCCAAATACAGGCAAAAGCCCAAACATGAAAAGTAACACCTTGGAGGACCAAAGATTAAACACAACACACAACATAATACACAACACAACACACAACATAATACACAACATCCCACATGTGATCATGAGGACCTCTGAGAGGACCTGATGGTACCACTACCCACTCACTCCCTGTCACACTGTGGGAATGTGTCAGGCCTCTGCACACCACCCTCCTCCTCCCACTCCACCCGCCCTCCACTCCCTCCAAATCTCACCTCGCTTGTCACCCCCCCCCCCCCCCCGACCTCCAGAAAAAAAGAAATAACCCCGGGATCACTTCAAGGCCTCAGCGAGGAGCATGTCAAGCTTTTGCATTTATTGCAGTGTCGACAAGAGGAGGGAGGGGGTGTGGGGGGGTGGGGGGGCTGAGGCCTGGCAGCTTTTTTGGAGGGAGTGGAGGGTGAGGGGGTGTGAAGGGGGTCAATGCCACACAAAGGGAGGTCAGGAAGGGAAAATTAGCCATCCATGAAGCTTTAGGCAGAGGAGTCTTTTTAAGAGGGGAGGTGGGTGAACAAATAAATACCTCACGCAGGCAGAGGGGTCACCCTAATCGCCTCGCAGCGCTCTGCTGCAGGGAGACACACACACACACACACACACACACACACACACACACGGTTCTCACACATGCACTCCTGAACAATTCTAGAACATTTCAGGACAGCCTCTCCCTGTTGTCCTGAATTTGTTCATGTCCTGCACAGCCCTAAGTTTTACCAGGAGCGGGGAGCGTTGGGAGTCCTCAGACATGACGTGAAGACGACGCTCACACTATGAACTTTACATCACAATCCAAGCTGAATGTCAAAGCGGCAGATTATGACACTATAATGACAGCTTGTTGCCTCATAAGTCATATTCACAGCATCAACGGACGAGAGGAAAATAAACTACTGGAGCAGCTTCAGTGAGTGAACACGGTTCAAACTGGTCAGGTATCAGTCATCACCCCATCTGATGACTGATGCCTGACTGATGCTTTTGCACATTCAAGACTTGTGTAAATCCGTGTAACTTCTTGTGATGAAAGATTCAACAGAAAACTCAAAGTACTTGGCCTTTGTCGATTCTCTGATTTTTTTTTAATTTTCAAAATCCAAAACAAAAAACGCCAACCAGAATTTACATTTTTAGACACTTTACCTTTACCTTCTTCTGAAGGTTATTTCCTTTTCAATATAGATGGAAATGGAAATAACCGGAGCAAAATGTACTGTTTCATAACTGAAACATTTAGAAGTGACACAAAATACAGATTTTACACATAACATCCTGCAGAAATTTTTACTAGGGGCTGTCAGGAAAAAGTGCCAGTAAAGCCGTGGTTTTTAAAATGGATCTGTTGTGCATTCACACATACAGCTAACCCTGACAATATCCAGGAGTTTTTTGAATGTGTGAAAACCATATCATAGTGTTTTTGAGAATTCAAAGAAGCTTTTTAAGGGTTGACCACACACGCGTTGCAGACTGTAACGAGCCCTTCTCTCTGCATGAGGAACTGCCTTCAGCTTCTATGATAGATTACCAGGAGGTGAAGGAGGCAACCATACATCTGATTTGCCCCATGCTACGCTGTCATGCTGCCAGACACGTACAGCGCAGGGCCACGGAGACGTGAGACCATATCATAAAGAAGAAAAAACAAGTTCTCTCCTTTTTTTCTTCTTTCTTCTTCTCCCACCTCCAGCGCTCTCCCAAACCGGCATAAAATTGGTTCCAGAGTCCTGATTTGGTTTACACGTTAGTGCTGCGAGTTGTAATGAGTAAAGGACAAGAAAAAGAGGAAAAGAAGGGAAGGAAGGAAGGAGGAGGAGATGGATGGACAGCGAGGAGTAATGGAGGAGAGTGATGGGCTGAGTGGAAGAAGGATCGGAGCTTTTCAAGGCAAGCCTGAATATGAACAAACTTCATTGTTGCGGGCAGATCTTTGCTCCATGCCTTTACTCTCCTTTATACTCTGTTTGAATGAGGTTGCCCCGGGCAACACCAGGACAAGAAAAAATGCAGGGAAAAGGAGGCGGGAGAGTGGATACTGGTAGAGAGCGAAGGGGTGGAGAGGTTGACAAAAAAAAGAAGAAGACATGGGTGAAGTTTATCAGGGGGGGGTGGGGAAGAAGAAGAAGAGGAGGTCCCCCGGTTTTAAGTAAAATCAGCAGAAAAGAAAACAGAGATGGACGCCTCACAAAGCTGGTAAAGCAAGGCCACAAAGTTGGTGGTAAATAGAGTGAGCAACAAAAAATAGACAAAGTAAAAGAAACAGAGGAGTCTATATGAGCTGCGCCTGATTACCATGTAAATGACGGGGGAGGGGGGGGGAGTTCGGAGTTGTGGAAAGGAAGCTTTGTTTTCTCATAACCCCCCTTGATGCCATCATGATACTTCCCTTTGATGGCCTTTCGTTCCCCATTAGTGTACCCCTGAGACGCAGCTCCGGGCCCCGCTGAGAGCACCCCGAGATCCCCATTTAGGGCCAGGCAGTCCCCTACGGTGAGGACAAATGTTCCCTTTGTGCGCGCGTTACGGGCAGGGGAAGTGGGAGCAGTCCTCCAGCACCGAGCTAAGATGTGCTTTGGGTGTTCTGAGTAGATGTAGTTACTACGGCGCTTTGTCTCCTGCGCCTTTCAGAGCAGCGAGGAGTGCGTAACTGAGAGGTGGACCTTTGGCCTTTCTATCAAAGTGCTGTACAGCCCTCTGAGCTAATCGTTCTCTGACTAGAGCTGCTTCCAAGCAGAATACAGGACTGTACAGGGCTGAGAATTACAGCTAAAGCCTGACTCACCAAACTTTCTTGCACACTTTTCACTTGGGGCAATTTTAGGAAATTTTCAGGAATAGAGTGAGGTGTGACGCGGGCTTAAAAGTCATACATACTACGGCCATGTTCTGTGCATAATGGTGTTCTTACACATGCACAAACTCCTGAAAATGTCCAGAAATTAACGGCTGAGCTGCACGTGTGAACACAACAGGTCACATTTTACACCCTGACTTTATCCTAGTAAATACATGTTACAGAAAATTCCTGAAATTGTAGCGAGTTGTGAGGGTCAATGAGGTTAAAATGACAAAACCGACATTAAAAACATCAGCAATGTTTAGCTACTGAAATGTATTTGTGCAACTTAAAGAGTGTGTCTGTTTGAAACGAGAATTCAGACAATATTTGATGCAGAGAACTTTTTTTTTGTTGCCGTGGTATCGAAACAGTTTAGGACAGTGTTGATTTTTATTGCATCAAATGAGAAATTCTGGTTTTGAGACAACGCTTCCACTGACCACACTGATGACACTGCACGCCTGAACATGTCCCTACATGACAAGAAGGTTCTGCATGCTGGATCACAAGGGGTGCAAAATTAATTTTACAGACGCTTTATCCTGGAAGCTCCCTAAATGTCCATTCAAGGGTCGATTAAGTAGAGGTAGGTGTTCAACAGGGAATAGTCTGGAGACTCCTATCATTCATTTGAAAGAGCTCGTCGACACATCACTACTATCTTATGTTTCACTTTTTCTTTGGTATTTAGGACACCTCCACATACATGTACCTCTACCTAATGAACGCAAAAAAACAGACGTCCTTGAGGAAAATTCTACTTTTCTTGCACTCTATTAAAACAAAATGAGTATTTCCCGTAGTTTGAAACAACCCTGACACAGATAATCCACAGATTTATGTGTGGAAGAAATAAATCCATCAGTGAGTGGACTTTATCCTCACAACATTGTCTCACACAAAGGCTCTAGTGAGCTTAAAGTAACCAGTCATACTGAATAAAATCTCTAGAAATAAGTTTCAAAGTAACTGCTCATTTCTGGGGTTGGATGGAGGAACACAAATATGTGTTTGTTGGTTGTTTTTTCCACACAGATAAATCAAAGCATCCAGTGAAATTTGACAGTCAGTTGAAGTGTGATGGTGAATCTCTATCATGTAAGTCTAGACGAGCTCTGGATAACTCGGTGTGAACACACAGCCACGTACTGTATGCGCCGCAATCAATAAAGGAGGT